ACAAAGTTAAGACATTAGTATTCGACTTTTAGCTGTTACCAAATGCATTTGTTTATCATTGTGCAATTAAAACAGCTATGGTTAATCTCATCTTTCTAGGGCATAGTTATGAAGGAAAACACTAAGCTTCTCTCACTCAGGATTAACACTTTTAATAAATAATATTTAACTAAATAGACAAGCATATGTATATCATCTAAAAACAAAGAACTTACAAATTTCTTAAACAGGGATTCAGAAGGCCATCTTAAACACAAAATTAAGTCCTACATTACGATCTGCATGGACAGACTATGCACAGAGCTTGTGGGAAGCCTTCTTCTTTTAATAAGCTTCATTCAGGTGTGAATGTCCACCTGTGTGGATCAGATCACAGACTTGGGTCCTTAAAAGGCCATTTTTCGAACAAGCGTCTCACTGTAGAGTATCAGCGATAATTCTCAAGGAGTAAGACAGATACCCTTTGAGCTGAGTAAGGTTATCAGACTCTTATTCAACTTATCAAAGATATTGAATGTACTGAACTACTTAGGGCCAAACCTTAAATTCAGTAGTAGCCCTAAGTGTCTGAACCTGACTAGCTCTTGATGGGAACAAACAGAAGCAAATGCCTTAAAACAGCTTTAGCAAGCTTGAGTCGGTAATCTTGACATCAAAATTTCATTATGGTAGCACAGAAGCATTTCTTTTTAAAAGAGGCTTCTTTGCTATAGTGTAATCTGAATGGTCACATGATTGGACTTAATGTTTCCACGTTCTGTTGCCATGTGTTCTGTTGCTATGGCTCATGTGCGCAAACAACTCAACCTTAGCTAATATTCATCTTCTTATTTTAAAACTAATTATTCTTTTTATTGAGCTCACTGATTGCAGAGCACATTATTAAAATTATACATTTTTAAAATGCATCTAACTTTACTTATTATTCAGAGCATATTACATGAATTATATCCATGTCATTTTTAACATTGGCAGGTGCAGCTGTTTAACTGAAATTTGTTCCTGTGACATAATTAAACAGAAAGCAGCATACAGTGATCCATATAATCTACTCATCTTCCAAATAATTCATCCTAAAGGCTTTTAATTTTTTAATTTTTTTTTTTTTTTTGCAAAGCATCAGTGAAAAAGGAAATTAATAAAACCCAACCCATGGGACCTAATTTCCTCCATTTTACTACAAGTTAGGTAATAAAAAGGACACAGCTAACCATTGCCATTGGATGCATGCACAGAAGAGCTCTCCACAAGCTGTCCTACCCTTCTGCATTCCAAGTGAGAACGCAAGTGCCTCCAGGACACCTTCCCATTTGCACTAGAAGGGGAACAAAACTAGTTGGGTCCAGAGAGCAAAAGTTACCCAAAGAATAAATGTAAGCAGCAAGGATTTCTCAGGGCGCTATCTTTTATTGGACTAACTATGTAGTTGGGATAGACAAAGTTAGACAAGCTTTGGAATTAAAAACGGTCTTTGGACCTCTGATTACAGGAACCAGGCGCAGGATAGTAAAAAACAGCAGAGCGGAGTGTCTGCTACCCCTGAGACTCTCTCACCCCCCCTCCCCCGCACCTTGCTGTTTTTCCACCTCCTTCCCCTTGCCTCTCACAAGTTCTGGACCACCACAGCTACAACATCACTCTTGGAATAAACACAGTCCTACCTGTGGTTCTTGAAAGAGTCATCCAGTAGCAAGAGGACATTTGATTACCAGTATCACTCTCTATAACAAAGATATACAATAAATCAACACTTACCGATATTTATGGGTGTGACCAACAGTAAAGGTGACTGAAGAGTTGTTGCACCGTTTGTGATCTTTAACCATAAGATATAAGTGTAGCTGGGTTTCAGTGAAGGTATGTGACATTCATACTTGTCATGTTCCTTGCAGGCACAGTGACTAACCATGTAATTGCCTTTTAGAGAACTTGTAGGTATGTCCTCCAATAACAAATCGGATCTACATTGGGAAAATATAACCATTTAGAAAGCATTTCCTCAACAATATTCTACACATGCTACCATATCCTACCTGTGTTTTGGAGAAGACTTATTTGAAACAGAGAGGTTGCTCTGAAAACAGCAATGTTCAAGCTCAGCAATCAAATAAAATATTCTACTTGAATCTCTACTACAGCAACCAGTGTTCCCCAATACCGCCCCCTTTCTCTTTTAAAAAGGTAGCAAAGCAGTTTGATGAAACAGCATTATAGAGACTTGACCCCTAGGAAAAATGGAATTGCCAGACAGGATGAGACCTGTAGTCCAACTAGTGCAGTGTCGAGCAGTGGCCAGAACTAGATCCTTATAATAACAGTACAAGAAATCCTGTGGTAAGCAGATACAAAATAATCTGCCACCTAATAGAGATCTCATCCTAATTTATAGTAGTTAGACACTGAGATACCAGGAGATAGTAGTTAGACACTTTAAACCAGGAGATATGAGCTTTTATATTACTTCAAAAACTGTTGTCATATTAACTGTTACGATACCCTGAATTAGGTTTAGGTTTTTGTGAAAAAAGGCTACAAGATTTGGTTTGTGTGTAGGCTGTAGCTGCAAAACATCCAATAAATGTAGTCCCAGAATTGTAACTAGTGTGAGAACCTACTTTTTATAAGCTGCTGAAGTTTTGTTTACTTCGAAGGCACAACATGTTTGTTTCTTATATAATTTGACATATTTTCTTAGTAAAAAATCTCATTCAAACCCAGGCATTACTAGTTTCTTTTGGACCAACTCCTGGAAAATATCTAGTAACTAACTCTTTTATATTCTGCATTGTTTTCTTCTCAGAACTGAACCACAACCCAAGAGACTATTTTTGGCTGAAGTTTCTAGATTTGATTTCATGCATTTTTCACATGGTTGGAACACTTTCCTTCAAACGGCCTAAGAGTACTCTGTTACTACAAATACTTTTGAAAGAATGTATGGTTTAATAAAGCCCTCACAAGTTTTAAACAATGAACATAAACAAGTAGTCACAGACATACTAAGGAGAAATAATGATGTTTTCTAAATAAAACAGTACGATATGGATATTGTGTATTATGCAATATAAAGGGCAGATGTATAGTGTCACATTAGAATTTAGGTTTAAATTAATTCAATTCTCTGAATCAAAAAAAATATTTAAAAAAAGAAGGCATTCTTAAAGCGTGATGGGTGCATGCGTTCAGTTGTACACAGAAGAACATACACTTGTTTAATGTAATGAGTTGAATGGCACAAGTCTGGTTGGCCAAAATTCTCCTGAGTTGCCAAACCAGGCAAGTTATACAAGTGGAAACAATCGGTGCCTTTTTATTTCATGTAATTGTGCATTCTTTACTGGCTTTGCCACATTGTTTTGCCAAAAAACCTAATACTTTTGATAACTCTAAAATAATTATTGTAAAGTATCCCCCCCCATAGATAATGTGACTTAATGTTATATTTAATTTAGGGGAGGGAAAGGCAATTCTATATTTTATGGAAAAATGTTCATTGTAGCATTTTAGGGGGTGGGGTTTAATGCAGCAAATACAAGTTGCTCAGATGTTTGCAAAACTTCACATTCTGGGGCTGAGTGATTAGTCAGGAAAGCACATGTCTGTCACAGTGAATGCCATTATAAGGCCTTGGTTCTGAAAGGAAGATCTACTAACATGGATCTCCTTATGAAACTAAGTTCTGACTTTGCTTTGCCACACATATATTTATTTTATTTTGATTATATCAATATATACAATACCTTCCAGCAGCCATTTTTGAGGATGCTCCACTAAACTTCTAGGAAATAGTGGGTGACTGAATCTTCTTCCTAAGCACTTGCAGTATTGAGGAATTGTCAAATAATTTATGAATATTCAGTGCTATTATCTGTCAGTATAGACAGTCATAAAGCATTTTTTGCCAGAGTTCAAGGATTCTTGGATACAGCAGGAGGGCTGTGCGAAATTTCGCCACCAGTTATGTTTCAGCGCTGTTTCAAGGTCAAAACAGCAAAATCTAAATGAAACAGATATGGTCAAAACTGACTTGAAATGAAACGAGGCAGGTCGAAATGTTTCGCCGTTTCGATGCCGTTTCGACATTTCGCCCATAGGTTATAATGGGGAAGGTCAAAACAGCCTATAACTTTGTCTTTTCTGGCCAGATTTGGATAGAACTTGCAGAAACGGTTGCCCCTTCTGAGGGCATGAAGCCTGCCAAGTTTCAAGGAGATAGGTGCAGGAGTTTGGGGGAAACTGCACCTCAAGCTGCGGACATGCAAAACTCATGACATAGATGATCCTGTGTGCATTAAGGCACAGCAGGCTGAAAGCTGAAGGGGTAGTGGCCCCTGCTGTGGCCACAAAGCCTGCCAGCTGTTGAAGAGATAGTAGCAAGGGTTCTGGGGCCCTGCACCTCTGGCTGCTGACAGGCAAAACCCATGACATGGGTGCTTGTGCAACTGTGTCTGTCTTGGGGCACGGGGAAGGACAAACTACTGCAGGCCTGGCTGCTAGGTCCTGCTGCGGCCACTAATCCTGCCAGCTGTCGAGGAGATCGGTGCGGGGGGGGGGCTGGGGCCCTGCCCCCCTAGGGGGGGTTCTGGGGCCCTGCACCCCTAGCTGCTGACAGACAAAACTCATGACATGGGTGCTTGTGCAACTAACTGTGTCTGTCTTGGGGCAGTTGATTGTCTGTATTGATTATTTCCTCTCAGTCTGTAGTTTTGTAGGTGTTAATCCATGCTTGTTAAGTCATTATGTAGTAGCTAGGTACTGTGTATTGAGCTGGTCCCCGAGCGAATCATGATTAATTGGCAACTGGTAACACAATAACTTAGCAGCCAGGCCTAGAGTAGTTCCCCTCCTCAGACAGACACAGTTGCACAACCACCCATGTCACGAGTTTTGCTTGTCCACAGCTTGCGGTGCAGGTTCCCCCAAACCCCTGTACTTATCTCCTTGAAACTTGGCAGGCTTTGTAGCCTTAGCAGGGTGCAGTTTCTCCAAACCCCCTGCACCTATCTTCTTGAAACTTAACACACATCATGCCCTCAGAAGGGGCTACCATTTCTGCAAGTTCTATCCAAATCTGGCCAGAAAAGACAAAGTTATAGGCTGTTTTGACCTTGCCCATTATATCTGTGACAGGGGGCCGTCTCGGGGCCGATCTCCATGGCCCGCCCACCTGTCCTTGAGCCAACTGCCCGCCTTCTCGCCCGCCACGCCTTGATGTTAATTGTTTCACTGATTGATGTCAATTAAGCGGGAGGCTGCCCATTTTAGTGCCCCAATGCCAGGGGGCACTCTCTGCCTTCATCCGGGCTACCTAGCCCCCCAAAGCCATTTTCCCCTCTCGGGCGTGGTCCCCCCCGGGACCTTCGGCTACTAGCCCTGGCCCACCTCCAGGCCAGTCGGGACCCCAGGCCCCTGGCTCTTGGGCGTCCCTCGCGGTGGGCCCCTGGCCCTTTTGACCCTCCTGGTCCTGGCCCCAGCATGGGGCAGTCGAGGGTACTCTCTTGTTCGAGCTGGGTCTCTAGCCCCT